TTATTTCAAATTCATGAATAATCATGCAAGAAAGTGAGATGACTCAGATCAAGTCAAAAAAGAAGAGATCAATTGGTATAAATAAAAAGTAATAAACATAGAGTAAAAATGATACTTATAGTAAGTGAAAGTTGATGTCCGGCCCAACGCGAAACAAAGCTGAAGGTGTAAGTCGATTATTCAGTGGGGAGAAATTAAATGGTATAAAGTCAGGATATCTGAAGATTAGAGCAAATAAGGTGTAGCAATAATGTTGAAGGACCAGTTATGGAATGATATCAGAGGGAATAAGAATGTTGTAAATTCAAGGATTGTGTGGATTAAAATAAGAAGTTGGATGTGAAAAGTATGTGAAGTATGTGAAAAGGTGGTGTATGTACCGTGAGAAGAGAGGAGTTAGAGGAAAGAGATAGAATTTGGGAGATGTAGATTCAAATGTATAAGGAATCTTTGAAACCAAGTGAGCGATTAATTGTGTAGGGACCTAAATGTTAAAGTAGTAGAAACAGTTACGAGAAGGGTGTAGTGAAAGGGTAAGTTAGGGATCCAGGTGTAAATGATAATGGGATCCCTTTAGATTGAACCTTTGTATAGAAAGGGGTTTAGTTAAAGGTAATACTAAATTTTAAGAAAAAAGAGGATAAATAAGTATACAAGATATGATGTAGGGAGTAACGGACAGTAGTTTTTTGATTTGACAAATATTGGTTGGAATAAAAGACTGTTGAGTAGATTTCTGGAATGTACATGTTTTATAGAGATTCACAGATATATCTGATCACTTTCTCTAGTGTATGCAACAGAGATTAGTAAAAGTATATGGTATATAAGGAAAATAGAAGCAGCAAAGTAAGAGAGAGGCGAAGTAAAGGAGCAGTTAGGGTAAATATAAACAATTATTGGAGGATAGATGAGCCTATTGAGAGTATAGGTAAGAGGTCGGAGGATTGTATGGGGTAGGTTATAATAAGAAGCCTTAGAGTGTACAGTCAGAATTTGTGGTATACAGGAAAGTGGGTTGCAGGATGGAAGAAGAGCAATGGTGGAATGAAGAAGTAAAGAGAGTAGAAATGGCGAAAAAGATAGCAGTATAAGTTTTTACAAAGTAAAGATGTTCTGCAATGATAGGGAAGATGTATAATGAGAGAAAAAGAGACAGGTTAAAGAGAATAGTGCAGTCAGATGTAAACAGAGAGCAAATGAGAAGAGTTAGGTTAGATGTTATCACAAGTGAATTTGTTGAAAAAAAATAAAGTTTTGAGAGTTGAGCTAAAAAAGTAGAGGAAGCCCCTAGGGACAAATGGATTTGACAGTTAAAAATAGGCGAGGATGTTATTAACGCCTTTGACTGTTTTAGAGTCGTATAAATATTGTCTTCCGAGGTACCGAGTTTGAAGTATATATATCAGTGGACCCTGCAGTTCACAGTTATTAAACCGTTCCTGAGAGCTCATCGTAAAGCAAAATAATCTGAAAGCGATCAATTTTTCCCCCATAAGAAATAATGGAAATCATTTAATCCGCGCAAGACACCAAAAGTATGAAAAAAAAACTTTTAACCACATTGAAAATATAAAGTTTAAATGCAAAAGAATAATTACAATAGTCAATAGAATCATTGACACCAAAGTACACTCTCAGCACACCACAGTAAAAGTACACTCTCGAGCACTCCATATAACAATGTACACTCCCAGCAACACCATAGTTTTAAAAAAAAAAACTAGTATCACTCACAGAGCACACCAATAGTAAACAAGTACACACTCAGCACAACCATGGTAAACAAGTTCACTCTCAGCACACCATATAACAAGTACACTCTCAGCACACCATAGTAAAAAAGACCTAACTCTCAGCACAACCAAATTAAAAAAGTACACTCTCAGCACTCCATAGTTAAACAAGTTCACTCTCACACAACCATTGTAACAAGTACACCCCCTCTCTTCAGCTCACCCCTAGTAACAAGTACACTCTCAGCACACCATAGACAACAAGTACCTCTCAGCACACGCGATAGAAAACAGTACACTTCCAGCACACCATAGTAACAAGACACACTCACACACCATAGTACCAAGACCATACTCCACATTCCATATTATCTCAAGTTCACTCTCTCAGCACACCATAGTAACAAGTACACTCTCAGCACCACCATAATCGTACAAGTACACTCTTCAACTCAGCACACCAATAGTAATCAAGTTCACTCTCATCACACCATAGTAATCAGTACAAGCTCTCTAGTCTACACACCATATGTAAAAAGTACACTCTCAGCACACCATAGAACAAGTACATCTCAGTCACACCATAGTAACTAAGTTCACTCTCCAGCACACAGCCATAGTAACAAGTACAACACTCATTCACCACAATGTAACAAGTACACTCTCATCACACCAAAGTAAACATGTACACACTCTCAGCACACCATATAACAATTACACACTCATAACACCATAGTAAAAAGTACACACTCAGTCACACATAGTAACAAACACTCACGAGCACACCATAGCACAACAAGTACACTCTCAGCCCACCAAAGTAAAAAGTACACTCACAGCACACGCATGATTAACAATACACTCCTCGCGACCCCAAAGAAATAAGTACAAACTCAGCACACCAATAGGTAACAATACATTCTCAGCACACCATAGTAACAAGTTACATCTCTCAAGCACACCATAGTAAACAGATACATTCCCTCAGCACATACCTCCCAAAGTAACAAGTACACACCTCAGCACACCATAGTAACAAGTACCACTCTCAGCACACCAAAGTAACAAGTACACTCTACACACCATAGTAACAAGAACACACCCGCACTACCATGATAACAAGTACATCACTTCTCACACTAATTGTCCTAAGTAACAAAGTACACTCTCACACACCATAGTAAACAAGTACACACCCAGCAGACCATAGTAAACAAGTACACTCACAGCACACCATAGTAAACAAGGTACTATTCTCACACCCATAGTAACAAAGAACACTCTCAGCAAACACCATAGTAAACAAGTACAGTCTCAGCACAAGCATAGGTAAACATATTAGCACTCTCTCACTCCATAGTAACAAGTACACACTCAGCACATCTTAGTAGCAAGTACACATCTCAGCACACCATAGTAAGCAATAAACTCTCCGCACACCATAGTAACAAGTACACTCTCGATCACATCTTAGTAACAAGTACACTATCAGCACACCATAGTACAAGTACACTCTCATCACCCCCATAGTAAAAAGTACCTCACCCACAACCATAAGTAAACAATACACTCTCAGTCACACCATCAGGTAAACAATCCACTCACAGCACATCCATAGTAAGAAGTTAACACACTCAGCACACCATAGATTACAAGTACGCTCTCAGCACCCCAAGTAACAATTACACTCTGAGCACATCCATCAGTAACAAGGAAACTCTCAGCACAACTTTAAGTAACCAAGTAACACATCTCAGCACACTCATAGTAACAATACACTACCTCATTACACCATAGTTAACAATTACAAAGACTCTCAGAACAACCTTAGTAAACAATCACACTCTCAGGACACCAAAGTAACAAGTAACAAACTCGTCAACACACCTTAGTACCAAGTACAACTCTCAGCACACCATATTAACAATACACTCTCAAGCACACCATAGAAACAAGTACCTCTCACACACCATACGTAACCAAGTCACTCTCATCCCACCATAGTGAACAAGTACAAACTCACAGCACACCATAGATAACTAAGTAAACTCTCAGCACACTCATAGTAACAAGTTCCACTCTCAGCCTCACCATATAAAAAGTACAATCTCAGCACACATGTAACAAGTACAATACTCATTCTCAGCACCACCATGGTTAACAAGTACATGCTTCATCACACCATAGTAACAATTAACGCTCTCAGCACACATAGTAACAAGTACACTCTCCGCACACACACAAGTAAACACGAACACTCTCAACACACCTTAGTTACAGTACATCGCTCAGCAGCACATATTAACAAGTACCACTTCTCAGCACACCCCCTATAGTAACAATCCATCCACTCACCCACCATAGTAAAAAGTATACACTCTCAGCACACCATAGTCACAAGTACACACTCAGCACACCATAGTAACAAGTTACACTCACAGTACACCAAAGTAACAAGTACACTCTCATCTCACCAGAGTAAAAAGTACACGACCCACGCGACACCATAGCCGTAAAAACGTCACACTCTTCAGCACACCCTAGTAACATTACACACTTCAGCACAACCTAGTAACAAGTACAACTCTCAGCACACCATAGTAACCAAGTTCACTCTCAGCACACCATAGCCCCCCCCTCTGTCGCCCAAATTGCTACCACAAAGCCCACTATTCTCCCTTTCAATCCAGCCACAGTCCCCTCGCCCCTATTTTATTATGTTTTTCCTGGGTTGAGCGGATTTGTTTTTCCTGCACACCGGATCTTTTCCTCCTTCCCTACAAGCGACGCCATCCCACCCCCACTTTCCATAGCTGGTGCTATCCTCCTTCCCACAGCTGGCACTGTCTCCTTTCCATGGCAGGCACTGTTCCCCTTCCTAGCAGCTGGCATCATACATTCTTTTCAAGACTGGTGCCAATCTTCCTTCCCACAGAGGAAATGCTGGCATGCCCCACAAGGAGGGAGCCTGTGACCTAAGTGGTGGGACACTGAGACAGCACCCATGGAATCATGGTGGCCCCACTAAAGTTGCAACTGTAACTCCCAGCTAAAGTTCAACTGGAAACACCCACTAAAGTCGAAGTCCACAGTGGTCCCCCCACTAGAGGGGTCAAGACTGCAAACCCAGAGAGGGGGTCAAGACCTGCACCCAGAGGAGAGGGGTCAAGACTGCACCCAGATGAGGGGGTCAAGACTGCAACCCAGAGGAGGGGTCAAGAGACAGACACCCCGGAGGGAGGGGGTCAAAACTGCACCCGGAGTATGGGGTCAGCTGCACCAGAGGAGTTCGTCAAGACTTTGCAGCCCAGAGGGGGTCAAGACTGCAACACCGGAGTGAGAGGGTCCATATCTACACCCGGTGGAGGTCATGTCTGCACTCGCGGTGAGGGTGTTCAAGACTGCACCGGTGGGGTTAAGACTGCACCCATTGGGGGTCAAAGACATGCACCCAGTGGGGCCAAGAGCCTGCACCCGGTAGTGAGTAAACAAGACAGCAACCCGGTGGGAGGGTCAATGACTGTCACCTCCGTGGAGGAGGAGTCCAGTACTGCCTCATAAGGCTGTCGTCAGTAGGAGAGGTCAAGGCCCTGCCTCTTAGGGGAGTCAAGAACTGCCTCATTAGGGGAGTCAAGACTACCTCAGCAATGGGAGTCAAGACTACCTCAGTAGGTGGTGACATACAACCTCACGTAGGGAGTCAAGACTACCTCAGTAGGGAGTCAAGAACTCCATCATGTAGGGGAGTCAAGACTAGCTCAGTAGGAGTCAAGACTTCGCTCATGTAGTGAGTCAAGCAGCCCCAGTCAGGGGAGTCAAGTCTGCCCCTGTAGGGAGTCAAGCTGCCTCAGTAGGGGAGTCAACGACTGGCCTCAGTAGGAAAGGAGTCCAAGCAGCTCAGTAGGATAGTCAAGACTGCCTCAGTAGGAGACTCAAGACTGCCTCAGTAGAATAGTCAAGACTGCCTCAGTAGAGAGTCAGACTGCCGTCAGTAGGCGAGTCAAGAACTGCCACAGTAGATAGTCAAGACTCCTCATAGTGAGAGTCAAGACTGCTCAGTAGGAGATTCAGACTGCCTACAGTAGGAGATTCAAGACACCTCAGTTAGGTAGAGTCAAGACTGCCTCAGTAGGGAGAGTCAAGACTGGCCTCGTAGGGAGAGTCCACAAGACTGCCTCAGGAGGAGAGTCCAAGACTGCCTCAGTATGGCTCAAGACTGGCCTCAGTAGGGGAGTCAAGACTGCCTCATAGGGTCAAGACTGCCTCATAGGTGAGACAAAACTGCCTACAGTAGGGGGTCAAGAAGCCTCAGTAGGGGGGTCAAGACGCCTCAGTAGGGGGGTCCAAGACTGCCTCAGTAGAGGGGTCAAGACTGCCTCAGTAGGGGGGGTCAAGACTTGCCTCAGTAGGGGGTCAAGACTGTCCTACAGTAGTGTGGTCAAGACTTCCTCAGTAGCGGGGGGTCCAAGACTTGCCTCAAGGGGGGTCAGACTGGCCTCAGAAAGGGGGGTTTAATACTAATACTGCCTCATAAAGGGGGGTTAAGTACTACTTCATAAGGGGGGTCAAGAACAACTTCATTAATGAATGGGCAAGACTACTTCAGTAAGGAAGTCAGCTACTCAGTAAGTGGGTACGAGACTACTTCAGTAAGAGGAGCCAAGACTAACTTCAGTAAGAGGGCGGACACAAGACTAACTTATCAGATAAGTGGTCAAGACTACTTCAGTAAGGGGGGTCAAGACTACTTCAGTAATGGGGTCAAACTACTTCAGTAAGGGGAGTCAAGACTCATCATAACGAGAGGTCAATAAACTAACTTCAGTAAGGGGGTCGAGACTACTTCAGTAAGGGGGTGTCGACTACTTCAGTAAGGGGGTTAACACTGACTCACAGTAAGGGGGTCAAGGCTACACAGTATGGGGGGGTCTAAGGCTACTTCAGTAATGTGGGGTCAAGACTTTCAAAGTTAGGGGGGTCAATGACTCCTTCAGTAATAGGGTTCAGGACAAATCAGTAAGTGGGTCAAGAACTACTTCAGTAGGGTGTCAAGACTACATCATAAGGGGTCAAGACTATATCATAATGGGCCAAGACTACTTCAGTAAAGGGGATCAAGACTTACTTCAGTAAAGGGATCAGACTACTTCAGTAAAGGGGATCAAGACTACTTCAGTAAAGAGGGGGGCTCAAGAAACTTCAGTAAAGGGATCAAGACTCTTCATAAGGGGTTAAGACTACATCATTAAGGGGTGAAGACGTTCAAGTACAAGGGGAGGCGAAGACTACTTCAGTAAGAGTGGCGGAAGACTACTTACAGTAAGGGGCGAAGACTAAATTCAGTAATGGGTCAAGACTACTTCAGTAATGGGGTCACAGACTACTTCATAATGGGGGTCAAGACTACTTCAGTAAGTGGGTCCAGACGTACTTCAGTAAGGGGGTGAAGAATTCAGTAAGGAGGGCAAAGACCGACTTCAGAAGGGGGCAAAGACAACTTCATTAAGGGCGAAGACTACTATTAGTAAGGGTCAAGACTACTTCATTAAGGGGTCAAGACTACTTCCCAGTAAGGGGGTTCCAAGACTACTTTCAGGTAAGAGGGGGTTCAAGACTACTTCAAGTAAAGGGGGGCAAGACTACTTTCATTAAGAGGGCGGGTCAAGACAACCATCTTAAGGGGGTCAAGACTACTTCAGTAAGTGGGGGGTCCAGACAACTCAGTAAGGGGGGTCCCAGACTATTACTTCAGTAAGTGGTCGCAAGACTACTTCAGTAAGGGGGTACAACTACTTCAGTAAGGAGGGTCAAGACTACATCATTAAGGGGGTCAAGACTACTTCATTAAGGGGAGTTCAAGACAACTTCATAAGGTGGGATCAAGACTACTTCAGTAAGGGGGGTCCAGACAACTTGCATTAAGGGGGGACAGACTATTCAGGTAAGGGGTGGGGGACAAGACTATCTTCATAGTAAGGGGGGTCAAGACCTAACTACAGTACGCATGGGGGGTCAAAACTACTTCATTAAGAGGTCAAGACTACTTCAGGTAAGGGGGACAAGACTATTCAGTAAGGGGGTCAAAGACCTACTATCATAAGGGGGGTCAAGACTACTAGTCAGAAGGGGGGTCAGACTACTTCAGACAAGGTGGGTCAAGAACTACTTTCAGTAAGGTCCAAGCTACTTCAGTAATGGGGGTCAAGACAACGTCCGTAAGGGGGTCAAGACCTACTTCAGTAAGGGGGTCAAGACTACATCAGTAAGGGGGTCAAGACTACTTCCAGAGTTTTCATGACTGCCTCCTTGGGTTATCCCTGATCAGCATTATTTGCTACATTTCTTCATTTTAGGTGCCTTAGGTTGAAATCTCCCAGGAGCAAGACGGGGGCAAGAGTTGGAAGATTTTCCAGACTGATCAATTTTCAAAAGCTGTTCCTGGAATTGTTAGGAAGTTGCATCCGGAGGCTTGCATAAAACTACAATGACCAGGTTTTGGTTCTCGATCTTTACTGCCAGAATTCCAACTACATCATTTGAGGCATTTAGTAGTACTGAGCATATCAGTGACTGTGATGTACAGGCCAACCCCTTCCCCCCTTTTGCCTGTTCACTCTGTCGCATCTGTATAGGTTATAACCCGGGATCCATATTTCATTGTCAAGGTAATCCTTTATGTGGGTCTCTGTGCAAACCACGAACATTGCATTTGACTCTGTAAGCAGTCCATGGATGAAAGGTATTTTGTTGTTCTTTGCTGCTTTAGACCCTGTATATTTGCAAAGATGAATGTCATCGTATTGGTGGTATGTGGGGGAGGGGGAGCTTTTTTTCCTGGCACTAATGTCTTGTTGGTTTGGAATGGAGGCCATTGACTGTGATTCCTTTCCAGAAATGATCGGAGTTGGTGTACGATTTCTGTCATTTCCTGAAAATTGTTTTTCCTTCCTGGCACTAAAAACCTCTCTCTCTCTGGAGTGGTTGTGGCTACCCAGGTTTTCCCATGGTCTAGAAACTCTAGGTGTTCTGTATCTTCTTGTATAGTTTGTTTATAAAAAGGGAAAAGAGACAAAAGAGTGTGTGAAAATGATAGGGAAAGAAGTTTGCTGAGTGTACCAGGTAAAGTGTGTGGTAGAATTATTATTGAAAGACTTAGAAGTAAGACAGAGAGCAGAATCACAGATGAACAAGGAGGCTTTAGAATGGATAGGGGATGTGTAGACAAACTGTTTACATTGAAGCATAGAAATGAACAATATTTAGATAAAGGTAGGGAAGTTTTCATTGCAATTATGGATTTAGAAAAGGCATATGATAGGGTGGATCAAGGAGCAATGTGGCAGATGTTGCAAGCGTATGGAATAGGTAGTAAGTTACTAAATGCTGTAAAAAAAATTTTATGAGGATAGTAAGGCTCAGGTTAGTGTGTGTAGGAAAGAGAAGCCGGTAAAAGTAGGCCTTAGACAGGGATGTGCTGTGTCACCATGGTTGTTTAATATATTTATAGATGGGGTTGTAAAAGAAGTAAATGCTAGGGTATTTGAGCAAGGGTTGGGGATTAAATTATGGGGAATCGAATACAAAATGGGACTTGACAGTTACTTTTTGCTGATGTTAATGTGCTTTTGGGAAATTCTAAAATGAAGTTGCAAAGGCTAGTGGATGAGTTTGGGAGGGTGTGCAAAGGAAGAAAGTTGAAAGTGAACATAGATAAGAGTATGGTGATGAGAGTATCAAATGAGTTAGGTAAAGAAAAAATGGATATCACATTTGAGGGAGGAGTATGGAAGAAGTGAATGTGTTCACATGTTTGGGAGTGGATTTGTCAGCAGATGGGTTTATGAAGGACAAGGTAAACCATAGAATTGATGAAAGGAAAAAAAGGTGAGTGCTGCATTGGGGTATCTGTGGAGACAAAGAACATTATTCATAGAGGCAAAGAAAGGAATGTGTGAGAGTATAATGGTACCAACACTCTTATATGGGTGTGAAGCATGGGTTGTGAATGCTGCAGTGAGAAAGAGGTTGGAGGCATTGGAGATGTCATATCTAAGTGCAGCATGTGTGGTGTAAATATTATGCAGAGAATTCGTAGTGTGGAAATTAGTAGGTGGTGTGGAATTACTAAAAGTATTATTCAGAGGGCTGAGGAGGGATTGTTGAGGTGGTTTGGTCATTTAGAGAGGATGGAGCAAAATAATATGACTTAGAGGGTGTATAAATCTGTAGTGGAGGGAAGGAGGGGTATGGGTTGTCCTAGGAAAGGATGGAGGGAGGGAACAAAAAAAGGTTTTGTGTGCAAGGGGCTTGGACATACAGCAAGCATGTGGGAGCATGTTGATAGGAGTGAGTGGTGACGAATGGTTTTTGGGACTTGACGAACTGTTGGAGTGTGAGCAGGGTAATATTTTGTGAAGGGATTTAGGGAAACCAGTTAGCCAGACTTGAGTCCTGGAAATGGGAAGTACAATGCCTCCACTTTAAAGGAGGGGTTTGGGATATTTGCTGTTTGGAGTGTTGCATCTGCACGCCTCTGTCTCACCTCTGTAACACACTGGCTATCTCTGTGAGAGATAGCCATTGTGTTAAAAAACTAATTTCTTTTAAGATATTTAATTACAATTTTTTTATAGGTATGTAGAAGCCAAGGCAGACAGAGTCACGGTGGTGTTTAGTACAATCTTTAAAGATCCTGATGATGTAATTATCGGGAAAGTCTTTATGCAAGAATTCAAGGAAGGAAAACGAGGAAGTCAAACAGGTAAAGTACTATTGTATATGAAATTAATGAATGGCATATTGTTGAACATTCTTCCGTACTTGTATTGTTTATTAATTATTTATTCTGACAGCAGTGTTTTTCTTTTCTGTTTAAGATCTTTTGGTTTAAATACTAATGAGGCGTTGGTTGAATGGAGGCAGTTTGTATCACATTAATACTGTTAGGTGCATCACTAGGTTTGGGGTCACCAACAATACCACATTGACATGTTTAATAGCTTTTATAACAAAGTCCACCCAAAATCAGTTCAATACCTGTTCTAAATACTGCTGAGTAATAAAGAACAGGATGTAAGATATCAGGCATGCTTGAAAAATAGTGTGAAGATGCACTATGAGGAGGGAAGAGGATGGAGCTGGAAGTCACTACTTCTAAACAACACTCATTCTCTTATAAAAAATAATGCTGAGACAATAAAATGTGAAAAGCTGCTTCTGTTGATGCCAGAGAGTTAGCAAGCAAGAGAAAAAGCAAGGAAAAAACATATCAATAAATTACAATAATGCAGATGACATGCCAGAGTGGAGGTCCTGCATGTTTATAAAAATTGCACATGATAACTGCTTTGAGTCCATTTGAAATGTGTATGATGAAAATATACATAACCTCAACTATCTGGGAAAACAGATTTGTTCATAAGAGCAGATATCTTAAACCAGGTTTACTTTAAGTTTTAAAAGATACAAATGTGCAACAGTGACAGACATGTCAAAAAATCATTTGAGTAAAACAGGCTTAAATATTGACACTTTTTTGTTATACTCTCTGGTTCCATTTAAATGGTACACCCTGTAGTTATTGAATGTTGAAAATGTCTTTGATCTCCCATACTGATATTATGACTACTGCATCATGCATGTTGCTAATACAGTGTTGCATTTTTCTTTGTCAGCGCCCCATGTATTATTCTCTCACAAGGAGCCTCCATTAGAGCTTCAAGACACTGAAGCCAGACAAGGAGAAAATATTGGATATGTTACATTTGGTAAGTAAAATATGAGTTTGATATTTTCATTCCATCTGTGCATTTAAAAAAATGGTATTTAAAGCTTACAGAAAAGAGATACCTGTAGTAAGCATGTGAACTTTGCTGAATTTGAGAAATTTATGTCAGTTTCTTGATTTGTTATGAATGGCTGAGATTTTGTTAAATAGCATTAATCATTGTTTTTTAGTAGTACACACTGATGCTATTTTCACCCCAAGATGGGCACAATTAAAATAACTACATTTTGTATTCTACACCAATATTCTAGGTCATAAATATAGATAGATCTTGAAAGATTTAAAATATTCAGTTTCCAGTATTGAAATTTTTACAGGTTTTACCAGTTTTGATAAATGTGTCCAAAATATGTAGTAAATTCCTCAGTTTTAGGAAGTAGATTTTACCCAAATAAATCCTCCTAATTTGTGGAGAAAATTTTTATGGAAATTTGTTTAATGATTGCATAGACTAAAGGAGCACATCTGATGTTACATAAACTTTTCTACAGTTGATAACCAGTTTTTGCTGAAAATTAATTACTCTATGTAAAGCTATTAAGTTAACATAAATATGACTTAATATATGACTTTAATAAATTTATAGATGGGGTTGTAAAAAGTAAATGCTAGGGTGTTTGGGAGAGAGGTGGGATTAAATTATGGGGAATCAAATACAAAATGGGAATTGGACACAGTTACTTTTTGCTGATGATACTGTGTTTATGGGAGATTCTAAAGAAAAATTGCATAGGTTAGTGGACAAGTTTGGGAGTGTGTGTAAAGGTAGAAAGTTGAAAGTGAACATAGAAAAGAGTAAGGTGATGAGGGGTATCGAATGATTTAGATAAAGAAAAATTGGACATCAAATTGGGGAGGAGGCGTATGGAAGAAGTGAATGTTTTCAGATATTTGAGAGTTGACGTGTCAGCAGATGGATTTATGATGGATGAGGTTAATCATAGAATTGATGAAGGAAGAAAGGTGAGTGGTGCGATGGGGTGTGTGGAGACAAAAAACGTTATCTATGGAGGCAAAGAAGGGAATGTATGAAAGTATAGTAGTACCAACACTTATATGGGTGTGAAGCTTGGGTTGTAAATGATGCAGCGAGGAAGTGGTTGGAGGCAGTGGAGATGTCCTGTCTAAGGGCAGTGTGTGGTGTAAATATTATGCAGAAAATTCGGAGCGCGGAAATTAGGATAAGGTGTGGAGTTAATAAAAGTATTAGTCAGAGGGCTGAAGAGGGGTTGTTGAGGTGGTTTGGTCATTTAGAGAGAATGGATCAAAGTAGAATGACATGGAGAGCATATAAATCTGTAAGGGAAGGAAGGCGGGGTAGGGGTTGTCCTCGAAAAAGGTTGGAGGGAGGGGGTAAAGGAGGTTTTGTGGGTGAGGGGCTTGGACTTCCAGCAAGCGTGCATGAGCGTGTTAGATAGGAGTGAATAGAGACGAATGGTATTTGGGACCTGACGAGCTGTTGGAGTGTGAGCAGGGTAATATTTAGTGAAGGGATTCAGGGAAACCCGTTATTTTTATATAGCCGGTCTTGAGTACTGGAAATGGGAAGTACAGTGCCTGCACTTTAAAGGAGGGGTTTGGGATATTGGCAGTTTGGAGGGATATGTTGTGTGTCTATACATATTTGCTTCTAAACTGTTGTATTCTGAGCACCTCTGCAAAAACAGTGATTATGTGTGAGCGAGGTGAAAGTGTTGAATAATGATGAAAGTATTTTCTTTTTGGGGATTTTCTTTCTTTTTGGGTCACCCTGCCTCGGTGGGAGATGGCCGACTTGTTAAAAAAAAAAAAATATGACTTGTCAACGCCACAGTTGCTACTCTCATCACCCACTGCATGCCAAGCCCCATTCACACCCCCAACTCCCATTTACACCCATAAACCCTAGTGCACCTCATTCCCTCTACTTTCTCATCCTTCCCTCTCACTCCCACTTGTGTTGGTGCAACAGGTGAGATAGACTACTACTAGGGAGATATACCATTAGGCCAGGCTGTGGGGGTAAAACCTGTGAAATTAATCACATGTAGCTGTACCTGGGTTCATGTAAAATTATAGATGTTACAATTGTCTGTTGCAAGTACACTGTCTGAGGAAAATCAGTGTAATAAATACACTCTAATAATGTGCTCAGGATATATTTTGCTACACTATATTCACTATAAATGTTTATCCCAAAAACAAACATGTACTTGATATTCACCATTTTACTAAGCTGTTTTTGTGTATATTTTTATAATATGTTTTTGAGATAGCATCTGAAAAAAATTTATTTATTGAAAAGCTCTTTAACCTATTATCTATTATGGCCAGTACTCACATTTTAACACTACATTAACTGGGGGTTCAAGAAATGTGTGTATATGAAACATTGTCAACACTTTTGATAAGCTCCTCTCTTAGATTTTCAACATGTAATTGTTATTCATAAAGTTGGCACCTACAATTGTAGTGGTGTGATGTTTTGAGTGGATAATATTGTTTCTTCATTTAATTTTGTTACTGATTTGTGATTATTTTTTCACCAGCATTAAGAAATTTTTTAATACTATAGGTTATTTCAAATTTCTCTTAATATTTTTGGTTTGTTTCCAGTGTTATTTCCTCGACACACCTGTAAAGCTGCGAGAGACAACACCATAAACCTGATTCACATATTTCGTGATTACTTGCACTATCACATCAAATGCTCCAAGGCCTACATCCATTCTCGTATGCGAGCCAAGACTAGTGACTTTCTCAAGGTTCTCAACAGAGCGCGCCCTGAACCAAATAAATCTTCATCAGATAAGAAGACTGCATCGTAAGTGCTATTTCTAAACTGGTAAAAGTCTGAACAAACGTAATCCAAATTTGCATCTTTTTCTTGCAGTTTTTCTGTATGTCTAGTTTAACTCAAAACTTGTCATTGGTAACCAGATATCTTCTGTTAGTATTAGGTTATTTTTATTTTTAAGTAGTCATATTTAGTACAGTATTATAAAAAGTATTTAAATTTTTCTATTAACTGTACTGTCACAGCTTATTTAGCATTTCTGCAAGATACTGTCTGTAGTTTAACATTATATTGACCTAGAGTTTTTTCAAGTTAAATCATCTGAAAGCAGCTTCGCCTGTTTTCACTTCACTGTGGTACTAATACTGCACAGTATATGGAACTTATCATGGGTTCATAGAGTTGAATGTTTAATTACTGCTAATTTTATTATTTAACCACAAGCCATCTCCTGCCAAAGTAGGGTAACCCCCACCAAAAAAAAAAAAATGAAATATTTACCATCACTCATTCTGTAGCTGTCTTGTCTGGACATTTTACCACAAATATTTTATATCCTTTTTTTTTTTTTTTTTACACATCAGCTATTTCCCATTGAGGCAGGGTGATCTAAAAAGAAGAAACAAAAGTTTTTCTTCTTTTTACAATTACGTATGTAATCATTTAGTCTTTTCAAGACTACTAAAATAATCTCTCATGGGTAAGTTACGTTTCTGAGGGCCTGCCGACTCTTTCAGGGTCGGCAGGCCCTCTCCTAAACTTGTTCAGGGTCGGAAATTTTTTGAAAAAAAAAAAAAAAAAATTCTTATGAAATGACAGAGAATCTTTTCCTGATCGTATTGACACCAAAAGTATGAAATTTGATGGAAAACTTACGGAATTATGCTCTTGCGAAGTTAGTGGTCTCGGATATGTTTATGCATCGGCGATTTCGCCCACTTTGAGCCCTATTTTCGGCCAATTCCAATGTACCAGTCAACAAGAATCATAACTATTTTGCTAGAATTCCATGTTTTCTATCAAATGAGAACAAGAAACCACCCATTTACCAATTTGAACTATCCAATAAAGTGGTCAGAAATTGGCAATTTTGCCAGTTTCACTCATATTTCAAAAGATGCCAATTTCCAAATAGGGTCCAGAATAAACAAGACAGACATTCTTGGCACTAAAATAAAGTTTCCTCTGTTTCGTTAGTCACGTTTCCAGGCCTCTGTTGCATTTCTTTTGCTTTCCACTTTGAATTTTTATTCTCACAAAAAATAGAAGATTTACTGTTATGCAGACTACTGCATTAGTGTAGAAATGGTATAAATAATATCAGCGCACATGTGAAAGAATATTAGACTCGCCAGTTGATGTGTATTAGACGCATGACATGATTTGTTTACTTTTGAACTTTGGCAAAAATCAAACATTTCTGCTACTTTGAGCTCAATTTCAAGGTACTTTTCATTGCGAAACCAATCGAAATCATCTCAATTTCCATAATATGTCTTCCATTCTATAAAATGAGACCAGGAAAACTAGAATGCAACCATAAATAGCATATAAAAATACACTGCAAAGTCACTGTTTTAAACCAAAAACACGGTCGTAGTTTTTTTTTTCTCATTATGCACTGTGTGCTGCAGGATTTTTTTATACTGTGCACACTGACCACATAGACCCATTCTTTCATATGTAGGCCTACCAGCTTTCTCTCGTTAGATTTGAAGGCGCTAGAATTTATGCGTACTAGTATGGCACCAACTGTGGCGTGCAAGCCATACTAGTATGGCACCAACCCTGAAATGGTTAAGCAGAGCAATGCTTATTTTGTAGGACCGTGGCAAGCCATGTAGTTGACTGAACAGTGACCTCCCTGATTATTACTTGGGCCCTCCAAACACGTTAATACTACAGGAGGCTTTTTCCCAACACATGTAAAACTCCATATCCCTAGCTACAATGAACATGGCTTGTTACCTCTGAAGGCATGGTTAGTCAGTCACTCAATACAGGCTCCCAATCATTCATCATAGATTCATGCTTAAACATCTATATATTTCCAACATTACTTGGCATTTCTCCTGAGTTAATATCTAGAGACAAGAAAGGATGAAGATGTACCAAGATACCCTTGTGTTGCAGTGTCTGACAGAGTGAACATTAAAATGGTATAAAATACCGACAGGTTGTTAGGTAAGACACACATGCAACAGTTAGGTATCTTTATTTCGAAACATTTCGCCTACACAGTAGGCTTCTTCAGTCGAGTACAGAAAAGTTGATAGAAGCAGAAGATACTTGAAGACGATGTAATCAGTCCATCACTGCAACACAAGCGTATCTTGGTACAGACCTGAAATCAACTTTGTCAACTTCTACTAGTGAGAATGGCTGGATTTGAGAGGGACCTGACCTTCCAACGACAACATTCTTACCTCTACTAGTGGCCTACATCTCACCTCCTGGCGTTATATAAGGCTCCATCCTGTCACTTCAACTCCATATTGTTTCAGACTATGGAACAATACTCTTCTCCAGACTGAGGGACTGACCACCTCAAAACTTCAAGGGTGATGGACTGATTACATCGTCTTCAAATATCTTCTGCTTCTATCAACTTTTCTGTACTCGACTGAAGAAGCCTACTGTGTAGGCGAAACGTTTCGAAATAAAGATACGTAACTGTTGTATGTGTGTCATACCTAACAACCTGTCGGTATTTTATACCATTTTAATGTTCATACTGTGGATGAACTGAAAAGTTGGGTTCTCAGTTACTCTCTACCTCTAATTGTAATGGATTTTTGTGCATTAAATAATTACATGGACCAGCAGGTAATTTCAAACTCTACACCAAAGCAATGTTTCAAAGGTGCTTTAATGTGACCTCAGACACTCACTTGACCCTAAGAGATTTTTGGAAAGAACACTTCAGTATCCTCCATTGCATAAGCCTTATAGGTAAGGCTTGGGAGGGAGTGACTACCAGGACTTTGAACTCTGCTTGGAGAAAATTGTGGCCAGATTGTGTCCACAAGAGGGATTTTGAAGGGTTTGTGGCTGACCCTGATGAGCCTATGTCAGTTGTGAACTCTATTGTGGCATTGGGGAGTTCCATGGGGTAGGATGTGAGTTTGGAGGATGTGGAAGAGTTGGTGGAGGACCACAAGGAAGAGCTAACCCCTGAGGAGCTGCAAGAGCTTCAGCAGGAACAGGAACAGACCGCAGCTCAGAATCTTGCAGAGGAGGAGGAAGAGAGATGGAAGAAGGTGCCTTCTTCAGAAATTAAGGAGATTTTTGAAATGTGGGGTAGGATGGAAAGATTTATGGAGAAATATCACCCTGAGAAGGATGTTGCAAGCCATATCGGAAACTTGTACAGTGACAGAGTCATGGCCCATTTTAGGGAAGATTTAACCCTTTGACTGTTTCAGGCCCCTTTCTGAAACTGTCATTCTATGTCGCTAAATTTTTGAAAAAAAAAAATTATTTTTTATGAAATGATAGAGAATCTTTTCCCGATGATAATGACACCAAAAGTTCGAGATTTGGTCGAAAACTCATGGAATTACGCTCCCGCGAAGTTAGCGGTCTCGGCGACATATGCGTATCGGCGATTTCGCCGACTTTGAGCCCTATTTTCAGCCAATTCCGTTGTTCCAGTTGACCAAACTCATAGCTATTTCTTTAGATGTCCTCTTCAAGGGGGGCTCCTTGGCGTGGTGAAGAGGCTCTTGGTCTGAGGAATTAGCCCTGTCGGTCTTCTTCCTCAGACCGAACCTAACTACCCCCCATTCTCCCCTCCCCTATCCCATCCTCCCCTTTTTCCATTCCTCCTCCTCGCCCCTCCCTTTTGCCCTTCCTCTTTTTGGCCTTTGGGATTTCTCCCACAGGCGCGCTAGTTCCTAGGTAGGGGAAAGGACACCGGGGTCCATCCCATTCCGTTGAGGTTCTTGGCGGTGGCGTAGTTTGCCGTGGAATCTGGATTGCCTGGGGATGTCCCGATCCCTCTCCGATATCCCGGAGTAGCTTTGGGTGTCTTTCGGGCGACGGGTGTATCTGGAAGCCACCTTTCGGATTCCGGGGGTGGTGGCCGAAGGAGGTATGCTTTGTGGCGGATATCCGGCCGCCCTCTCTTTTGTCCACCGAGGTAGCTCGGCAGATGTGAGGTTGCTATCCTGGATTGATGGTTTACTGGCATGAAGGGTAGGGTATGGCACGGGTTCCATGCTGCATCTGCGCTACTAGCGGTGTTGAGGTCCTCTTGGGCGCGGAGGGAGATTTCCGGCCCTTTCATTCCTCCTGGGAACTATTCCTCCCCGCTCCCCCCTTTTTTTATTCTTTTTTTTATTTTTATTTTATTTTCTTCTTTCTTTTTTTTTCTTAAAAACAAAAAGCAAAGGGTAACCTAACCATGGCAGCCCTAGCCCCATAAACCCCCACTACCCCCTGGCCCCTTCTTGATACCGCACCCCATTCTGACCCTGCCTTGTTTTTTAGACCACTCTTGGGACACTCCTGATGCCCCTGTACCTCTTGCTGGTGCTGTTTCCTCACCCGCTTCAGGTACCGGGCTTCGACTGACCCCTTCGATTTGTCTGAACTCCGCTCTCCTTGACTATGCTTCTGGCTTCTCCCTCTACGGTACGGAAATTTTTTCGAATCGCCCGTCCATTTCACACCGACCAACTCCGGCCCCTACTCCTAAACGCCAACGTAAAATCTCCTGATAAATGCTCCTTCGTACCTTCCCATTCTATTTGGAAAAGACCGACACGTCAAGCACTCCCTCCCAACGCTCAGTTTCGGACCACACAATGGACAAATTCTTTACTTTAAAAACCGACTTCTTCTTCTGCCTACCTTTCTGACCATAGTATTGGCAAAGCGCTCCTGCGTCATGTTGGTAGAGATTTTTTCATTTCATGCTCTCAAGAGCGGTAATGCGCATCGTCACTGTCCAGAATGCTACCCAAGCTCATGATCTTTCTCTCCTTTCGAATATCGATACTATCCCTATCACTATTGAAAAACATCTTTCTCTCAATTCTTGTAGT